TCGTGCAGTACTTGAGGCTCTACGAACAGCTGGCCTGTCGATCAAGCCCGAAAAATGCCACTTTGGCTACGAGGAGCTCAAGTTTCTCGGCCATGTCGTCAATAGTGACGGAATTCGCCCAGACCCCGAGAAAACACTGGCTGTCGCTGCCTTCCCAACTCCTACAAACAGACACGACGTACGCCGTTTTCTGGGCCTTTGTGCGTACTATCGTCGCTTCATTTCGAACTTTTCCAAAATAGCAGAACCCTTAAACCAACTCAAGAAAGACAACGTTGCTTTTGTGTGGACCCCAGAACAAAACGAAGCTTTTTGCGAGCTACGACGACACCTCGGGACTTCTCCAATCTTGGGTCATTTCGACGAAAATGCCGACACTGAAGTGCATACATATGCAGGTAATGTCGGCCTCGGAGCCGTCCTTGTGCAGTGGCAGGAAGGTAACAAGCGAGTGATCGCCTACGCTACTAGTACATTATCAGCGGCTGAAACGAACTATTTTACCACAGAAAAGGAATGCCTAGCTGTCGTGTGGGCCATAGCCAAGTTCCGGCCGTATTTGTACAGGCAACCATTCAAAGTAGTCACCGACCACCATTCCTTGTGCTGACTTGCAGGACTCATGGACCACTCAGGCCGCCTAGCTTGATGAAATCTCCGCTTACAAGAATTTGTCGTTACGGTCGTTACGGTTGTTAACAAGTCAGGACGCAAGCACACCGATGTTGACTGCCTATCACGTGCGCCAGTCGAGTTGATTCCTCCTGACCAAACTGACGACGAAAGTTTCCTCATGGCCGTCACAGCCTCCGACTTGGCTGAAAAACAGCGTGATGACACAGAACTTCGCCCGATCACCGACTACCTCGAAGACAAGCTTGAACCGTCACCACGAAAATTCAGGCGCACGATTTCATCATTTTTCCTTCGTGACAACGTCCTGTACAAGTGGAGCTTTGATCCCAATGCTCGAACCGCCCTACTGGCCGTACCATCTGTGATGCGAGACGACATCCTTAAGGCGTGCCATGACGAACCATCTTCCGGGCATTTAGGGTTCACGCGTACTCTGGCACGTATTCGCCACACGTACTACTCGCCCAAACCGTCCCGTACGGTCAAGCACTACGTATAAACCTGCCGAGACTGTCAGCGTCACAGAACTCCGCCCATGAAACCTGATGGTCTTTTACACCCTGTGGAGCCACCTCGAGAACCATTTCAACAAGTTGGCATGAACTTGCTAGGTCCATTTCCGAAACGTCAGCGGGGAATCGCTGAATAATAATTGTGACTAACTATTTAACCTGTTATTGTGAAACACGAGCACTGCACCGCGGTACGGCAAGCGATGTCGCGGATTTCTTCATTCATGCTATCATCCTCCGCCATGGTGCACCAGCCGTGGTTATAACAGACAAAGGCACGGCCTTCACTGCCCAACTACTGGAAGAAGTGATGACACTCAGTGCACCGTACATCGCCGAACGACAGCTTACCATCCACAAGCTAACGGATTAACAGAACGGCTCAATAAGACCATCACAGACATGATTTCCATGTATGTCGATGTAGACCATAGGAACTGGGACAGTGTCCTCCCTTTTCTAACTTTCGCATATAACACCGCCGTGCAAGCAACTACAGGATTTACACCTTTCCGCCTACTTCACGGCCGCGAAGTTACTACGATGTTAGACGCCATGTTATTACCTGACGCATTTACGACCACCACCGAAAATGCTGAACAGTATGCGCAGCGCGCTGAAGAAGCTCGACAACTAGCTCGCTTGCGCATTCGCTCTCAGTAACAACACGATTCTCATAGGTACAACCTTCGGCACAGAGAAGTCACCTACCACATTGGAAAAAAAGTATGCCTCTGGAGTCCTGTACGCTAACGCGGCCGCTCTGAGAAGCTCTTGCGTCGTTATTTCGGCCTTTACCGGGTTCTTTAGCGCGTCAGCGATGTAAACTACGAAGTTATTGCAGAGCCCAGCGTGCAGTCCTCCCGTCGTGGTGCCCAGCCGGGCATCGTCCACGTGGCTAGGATGAAGCCGTATTACTCGCGCTGAAGACTTGCTCTTGCCTTCATACATTTGAAAGCATCGAGTCGATGCTCTTCGAGAGGGGGAGTAATGACACGAGTATGTAGTGGGTTTCTGGCTGTTGCGTGGCTAGTGTCATCATTACTTGTGCGTGTTGAAGGATTTGGTCGGCAGAAAAGACGACGACGAGCTCTCGCTGCTCGATCGAAGCTGTTCTGCTGTTTGCTACACTGTTACTTGCACTGATTTTATTACCGTGACAATATGATTAAGAGAGACGCCGTAGTGGAGGTCTCCGGAAATTTCGACCACCTGGGGTTCTTCAACGTGCACCCAAATCTGAGCACACGGGCCTACAACATTACCTCTTCCATCGGAAATGCAGCCGCCGCCGCAGGGATTCAAACCCGCGACCTGCGGGTCAGCAGCCGAGTACCTTAGCCACTAGACCACCACGGCGGGGCTACGTTCATTGGCATCGTTGCCCGTTAGTTCCCAATAATAATGTGTCTAGCAAAAGAAAATGAGCCCTCTAATTTACAATTCTTTCCTTAAATATTCAAAGGCGGCACAGTATATATAACCGGGCATTTTTTAAGACTCCATAGAAAGCTCCTCAACAGTAAAGGAAACTGCCGTGCGGCTGTACCTATACAGGAGCCACAAATGAAGAAAAACCGGGGTGAAGTGGGTACCACGTAGAATGAAGCACTGACTCGTTTCCTCCTGACTACATAAAAAGCGCAGAGGGAAGTCAGGAAACCTGACCAGCGCAAGTAAAAAAATATAGGGAGGGAACGTGGTAGCGTAATTTCGCTATGGCGGCCTTCGTTATCCTTGATTTGCAGAAACTGCCGCGCTAACAGAATACAGCTGGCTTAAAATCAGACGAAACTTTCATGGGTCTTGCAGTCCTTTTTGCAAATAGGAGATAACGAAATTTTTTTCGCCATGCTCTGTGCTATTCGTGGTATAACACGGAGGATTGACCCCAAAAACGATGTCTTTGCCAGTGAATGGGTAGTTTCGTTCAAGAGAAAAGACTTATGATGATGCAACCACAATGAGCTAGCACACTACCTCGAGACACAAGCTCAAGGGTTTAATTGGGATAATGATGAAATCATTAACGATAACATAAGTGTACTGTTGGCGATATGTCGTACAGCATCGCTCACAAAGGCTGCCAACGTGGCAGAGATATATCGCGCCCGCGTGATACGAACCGTTGATAACCAACTATAGCACAGCTGTATACGCTTAATAATGCACTATCTTCATAGTGGAAAGTGAATGTTTTCTTAATTTTTAAATAATTGTGTGCGTGCAAGCCTTTCTTCGACCTTTGTTACAGAGTCAGCCGGGACAGAGGAAGAACACGAGCGTGGCATTTTTTTGGGGTGTTCTGTGTCTCGCAATCCGCATCATGTTTCATTACATTATGCATTATCATCATTTTTATCTGCTCATTCGTGTGTCTTTGTACGTGTACACTGTATTTTTCACTGATATTTCATGTTGCTTATATTCATGAGACAAATATCGTTCAATTACCGAAGAAAGAGGTGCTGGGTGACACGCACTGAAATAACAAAACCTGCAGTCTAATTGCTGTATTAGCAAAAGTATTATTGAGGTTCTCCAGAATTTAATGCCGATTACACTTTAGTAACTTTTCGCATATTTTTTGGTTACTATATACTCTTAAACTTTAGAAGGAAGCGACTCTGATTCTGCTAAGTTTCTTAGTAACATGTGAAAATACGTTATCAATGGTACGAAAACGCGACAAAACAGTTTATAAGGTCTTGTGTAACACGCGCATTTTTAATCACGATCAGGCACGATCGAGATCAAGACTATGGCGATCTCGTTGAGAGATCGCGATTTTACTGTCGTCTCCACCCGCTGGCCAAGCTTCTTAGACGCACAGTAGAAAAAAGAAATTGATTATAGTTCAGTAAAAAAATAAGACAATAAAACAGCTAGATTTTTATAAAAAAGTAAAATTAAGCGTGTCATTTGGAAGCGCATCCGAAATATCGCATATCTTAAGATTCATATTGACCGCATGTATAGTTATGGGAGAAGCAGACGATAAGGAGATCACCGTTGTCCTCAGCGGGTAATTATACTCTCGCTCTGTCGGAGCAGTGGGAGCGCCTCGAAGTAAACTGATTATGAGCGTCACCAGCTTTTCTACTACACCGCAGTGTTCGCATGTTAGTGGTCGAATGATACACCTTTACAGTAATTGAGCGTTGGCAGGAACGACTGGGAGGCTTCACACTTCCGACATGCATACAACGAGAATGTTGCTTCGCTACGAATGGAGGGCTACGAGTAGATGCCATGCGAAATAAAAGTGCAGATAATGAATCTCCCACAGAAATATTGTTAAGGACAAGGGAAACTCAATCAAAGGATGCATTATTGAAATTGCTGCTGCAGTGGTACGCGAAGTTTTTGACGTTAGAGCGGTTATTTCTTGCACGAATAACATTGATGATAAAGGGCTCCATAGAAATATTGTACGCTGAGTTTTGTCAATGACATGTTTCAGGGCGGACAAGCCCCACTTGGTGCATTTCATCGGGCCTAAGCTCGAACAGGATTATCTTTGGCCGTGTAGCAGAGACTATAAAGTTGACCGCGATCAAGGAAACCCATCCGGATCACCCTGATTGCGATTGAAAGTGCCCGTGTGACACCGATATTACATTATCCGTCATAAATGATAGCTCGCGTGCAAATCTCCTGACGCGCACCTTTGAGCTACTAGCAAACTAAACCCTATCATTCGTCACAGAAAATCAAGCGCATCAATTTCCCACTCAATCGAGGAAAAAAATCTTCATAACATTATAATTTAACTACTTTAAAATCACATATGTCCAACTATTTATAGTCTTATCGTTGATCCGGCTAACGTCTGAAGATACTGAACGCCCATTACATTTGTGCCCCGAGAGTACGGTGGCAGTAGCAGTATTGTTCTTGTTGGTTTCTACGCACGCAGTAGGTCTGCGCCTTATACCCATCGCCGTGGCTAATATCCTCCACCTTGATGGCATTGCCTACACTAACACGTACTGTGCTTTCTAAGACGACGTTTCCTGGCGACAGCAGGACGTCGACTAAGTAATGACTCGTGTTCCTTGCGATATCAGCAAGTGTCGACTGAAGCAAGGTGACGTCGATAATCCGGAGCAGTCGGAACGTAGCGCGCTTTCTCCTCTCCCGTGCCAATAGCTTGTTGACGTCAGAAACAACACGATTCGCCATAGCCCGTGCAAGAGTACGGGGTACGGCAGCATCGACTTTGACATTGCACGAGCACCACTTAGGCTTAATGGACGCGTCGGCGCACGTCCTCTGCTCGGGTATCTCGCTAAGCAGGCTAAGTCCGTACGCAGTACGTGGTCGCTTGCGGACGGGATAGTCGAGCAGATCGACGAACGTCGCGTGCAAGTCGAAGGGCGTCGTTAGTCGGTGCTGGTTGACTCGAAGGCTCCGAGCTGCCTCGGGATTCTTCTCTAGGAACCACGGTGGAAAGACGAGAAAGGCGAAAGGCTGAATGTCTTCGAGCCTACCGATGTACGTCGCGCGGATGTCCCCTTTCGGCATTCCGTGGTCGCTGAAGAAGGCGAGCACTGTGTGGTTGAGTGCACCGGAAGCGTACAGGGCTTCGATCAGTTGCCGAACTGGCTCGTCCGCGTACGCTGTGTTGTTGAGCGATTCGTGTGTTATGTCGGCGAACCAGGTGAACGCGAAGAACGGTCTCTTCGACATCACCTTGACGAAGTTGGCCAGATAGTCGAGAAGTTCTTTTGACAGCGTTGTGGGTTCCAAACAGCTCTGATCATCTTCTACAGTCTTGACTGACTCCTCCATTAGCATGACGACGTGTCGTGGGTAGTACTCGGTGTGTGGGCACCGAAAACCCTTTTGACCGAACGCACAAAAGTGACCCGGAAACGCCCACTCTGTAAACATCATGTTGCGATAGCCGCGGGACGAATACTGACGCCAGAATAACCTTGAACTGAGTTTGTCATAGAATCCAGAATCAAGTGCCTGGTGCACTTCGAACTCTTTAAGACCTGCGAGACACGCAACTTCGTTTGGATATGTGTTCTCCCCAAACTTTGTTGTATCCATGAAGTTCGAAAGCACCTAGTTTCTCTCGCACAAACTTCGCAGTCTCCGGGAGGTGCCTGTCGAAGTTCAAGTATGAAACCGAGTCGAGACCGAGCATTATAACGCTGAGGTTGTGCGGCGTCCGTCTGCGCGCCCTTCGGAATCGCTTCCGCACGTTCTTCTTGAGGAGCGGATTCAGGAGAAACTGCGTGTGAAATGTATTCTCCGGAGACTTCTGTCTGGCGCATTCGACGAGGAGAAGCTTCTCTCTCAATGGCTTGTCGAACGACAACCTCTTTTTCCTCCCTTTCATGTAGTGTTTGTCTGGAACGGCTGCAGATTCGTTGCGGTAAATTTCACTTTAGAAGCAGACGAGGTTCTCCGGAATCACGCCGTGTTGCCTCAATTCTCGCAACTGTATGAATGGAGACCCGTTCCGGAAAAACACAAGGCTTGCTAGTTCAAATAAGACAAAAGTTCGTAGTGAGCCTAAGTGATCAACGGTTATTAAAAAAAAACGGTAGGGCAGCTACGAACTAGTGGTGCGAATACTGAGAAAAAAGTGGAGCTAGTGGTTTTACCTCCGCTTTTACCTCATCCTCACCCTCGCTTCCTTTTCCCATCACCTTGCTATGCTTACTATACGTTGCTATGCTATGCTTCAATTTCACCATGCACAGCTGTGCTGAGTTTTAAGTGGTCATCGGCCACTGCCAGAACTCAAGCTGAAACAGCTGCATTGCGAAGATGCTTGCGTGCAGCGTGGCAACTATTCTGGTTCGAACGCTGTAAAAAATATGCGTTTGCGTTACAGCTTAATAACGCTTTACCGTATACTCGAAGGGGCCCTGCAACCTTTTTCCAAGGCGTCACATGGCGAGGAGCTTATTGTTTCATGAATAGACCACCGCAAAACCTTTTTAGAGTCCGTCAGGTATGAGCGGAGATGTTTCGTACGCTGTAAATGTTTTTTCTCGTATCTTCCAGCGCGTTATAGAAGCTAAGCTTGAAGAGATGGCACTAGGGAAAGAAATGACGTCACGCACGCATCATGACCTCTAGCACTCTTTTTTTCTTCTTCGAACGTGCAGAGGCTAACGTGTCGTCTGACCGCGAGCGGGTGCACGGGCATGAGGTGGCATCTTGTGGTGGCCTGCACATCTATGTGACTGACCCTGCTAAAAACAGCCAACGGTCGTCAATTTGGGTGGGTGATGTGGGCATTTGGATGTATGGAATCATTTGTAGAAAAAATAGCGAATGATTTCTAGCTCACTTTGAGAAATAATTGCGAGTTCACGGGGCTCGTGCGGCGCTTTAATTTTAGGCTCACGTGTTGTCAGGAGCACCGACTATCGATCGGCTCTATGTTTTCCGAACATGCTGAAAAAGTGTTGCTTGGTTCCTTCAATGTCCAACAAATTTTAAGCGTGACACTTGGAAAGTCCGCTATGTATGTAACTCACGCCATTTCATGCTGTGTTCATCCACTCTCCATCACCACACCTTTTAGCATAACAGCTGGTCACTTTGGCCAGCTATTGTCTTTTGCTGAGCCTTTCAGACAAACTTCAAAATCAGTGACCATTGACCAAGAGGGAGGGCCGTCCCTGCCGAAAATGGCGTAATTTCTTGCATGCTGTCTCTCAATCACGCAAAGCGCTGGGTGCGATTGCTCATCAAAGACGTACTGGCGCGATTGTTTTTAAAATTATTGCTATGAATAAAAACGATGCTGTTGAGAACCCTCTAAATAGAGTATCGTGATCCTTGGTAATGCTTTCAATACATTTTTTTCACTGCTATTTTGAAAAAATAATACGTCGGGGAACAAAAGCTATTTCTTTTTTTTACTGTCTTGCGTCCCGTAGTACGCGAACAGGCAAAAAGAAGCAAGAAAGAAATGAGTGTTCCACGCTCACCGTAATGGCAACAGGTGGCACCGACTAACGCCCTTACGTTTAAATGCCCGTAGATACCCTATAATGAGGACGTTATGGCAGCTTATCTATTCATTCACTTTTCTTCCTTCACATTTAAAATGCAGCTACTTTTATTACCATCCTCTGTACTTTACCTGGCATTATCATATGTTATTTCTCATTATATTGTGTTTAACAAAGGCAACGAGTTCTTAATTTATACTTTCCTTCTATCTTTCTGCTCGAATACATTCCATCGTTATGATGGAATGTGCTGCGGTCGATGGACAAATTTTCAAAAGGCATTAGCCTTGGGTGCCATTATAATAGTTACTGCAGTAAGAGTAATATTTCTAACAAATCTTCCACCGGTCGATGGCGAGGCACCTCACCTTATGGTTAGACAGTTGGGCTTCCCGGCGCAATGGGCGCGCTTGGAACCACGCCGAATGAAAGACCTGACTGTCGGGTCGAACAGGTTGAACCTGGGCATCGTGCAGCCCGAAGTTTGAATGCGGTAGCCTACCAGAACTGGCCACTCCCACTGATCACCGTACGAGTGTGAGCCTGCTAGCGAAGTCGCGAGAAAGAAGGCTCTCGGGAAGTGACCATCGCTGCACAGGAAGACTGCGCTGCAGAGCGCCGCTCCCTGCGGCCCTTTGCGCCGCAACCTCGGCAGGAGGAACGTGATCGCCATGGGGTTCATTTGTTGACGCTGTGTACGATGAACCACTCGAACAACGTCCACCTGCAGCGATTATGAAAAATCAGCGTTCTTTACTCATGCCGTACGAAAGATATGCTTTAGGCATGTCTGCCACTCATACGCTCTATTGTTTACAACTAGTGAAACCCTCCACAATTAGGCCAAGAAAAGCGAGTTCTCCGCTTTGTTTTCATCGGCTTAATAGTGAGTCGGTTTTATATTTCTGTGCTATACAAGAAGTAAGCCCCTTGGAAAATGCCCCCTTTTTCGCATGTACGGTGCATATGGTAGTTTGGTGGTAATGAACTTAGGGAAGATGAATGCACGGTCCTCTTGATTGACCGCTCCTGTACTCTACCAAGGAAACCTATGCATGATCTCTTTTATTTACCTTACGCTGTAGGACACAGTGGGGCCCGTAAAAGTGAAACAAATCGTTGGAAATGTTAAAACTAAAATGAAGTTTATTAGCGCTTATCTTAAAGAGCATGCTGTGTGCGCGTCCAGGATGAAACAGGGCCATATCTTACTCGATGACCGCACGTACCCGCCTTTGAAACACTGAATTGAGCATGCCGCAGAGAGCGAAGGTTTTAAGGCAATTCTCGCTTATTTTTGTCCTTTTAGTTTTAGATAAAACGATAACATTAGACGACCAAGAATCCAAGGATGCTTACGGGCAATCAGACCAAGCGTATACATGGTGTTTGGTTTGTCTCTAATTTTTCACTTCACTTGACTTCCCTAATTACGTGCGAAACTATGCGTGCACTGCTTTTTATGGTCTTTGCAGAGCGGAGCAAAGGCCAAGATTACTATGCAGGACCGTCCGAGTTTCTCGGGCTGACGAGTTTGCTCCGAGCTTGCTGTACGGCGGCCATGGCACCAAGACAGTACGCAGTGCGTGATAGCAGCGCTGATAAAAAATTGCTACAAAAACGCGCGTGGTGTCGGAAACACATGTTGGGCATTTGCGGAGGTTATCAAAGAAATACTGCTTGCGCACACGCCAGTGCCACCACCCAGTCAACATTTCGGCAGTGCTGGACCGTCAGCTTGAATGTGGCGCTATCTTTCTGCCAACTCAACACGCGCCTCCCACAGGCGTGTTCGTGGGCTTTTGTCCTCTTTCGGGCAGGTTCTTTCGTTCCACCCGCAGCATGGAAATGTCCACTCTCGAAGGCAGAAAGGGTGCACACGCAGCACCCTTGTGCTCCTCGTCTCGCTTCTATCAAAATAATGCAGATATATAAAGGGACAAGTTGTCACCAGGGGCGCTCACATCTTGGCGGAAACGCGGCTGTGAGTGGATACATCGTGAGCGTGGTGAAATTTATTGCAAGACATATGTCACACAGGTCCCGTTAATTCGGGAGGCAATCACCGGGCTAATTCCAAGGGCCGAAGTATCGGCCCCCCGAACCGCTCCACGAAAGCGTGGACAATTTAGAAGTGGTCCTTTTTGGCGCGCCAGCGGACGCCGGCTGTGGCCCAAAGAACAAGTCAGAGCCGAGAGTTGTTAAAGAAACAAATTATATTCTCAATAATGGCAGATCGAAAACAATACACAAAAATGCACACTCCACAATAGTTGCATACAACATGTCACCAATCAAACCAATCAAACAACGTACTACACAGTACAATCAGCCACACTCGAAACAACGGACACAGACAACAATACACACTACAATGCAGTCGCATGCATTGAACAACCAAGATACTTAAAGACTAAAGAGATAGAAAACCTATCCAGTCCAAAGTTCTTGGAACAAAAGTCGGGATGATACTCTTCCGAGAATCACTCACTCAAAGTCCAGCGTTGTTGTCGTTCCGCAGTTCCCGAAGTTTCTCTTCCAGGAAACCTCGCCGAAGTTTCTCTTCCAGGAAACCTCACGTCTTCAAATGGCCACTCTCCAAGCTTCAAACTTCTTCGCCGGAACCACGTCGGCTTCACACACGCAGCTGTTGCCACGCGTCTTCGCTCGATAGGGGTAAACACACGCTCTTGCCTGTAGCTCGAGCCTTCACCCCACAGGTGGAAATCTTCTTCTTCTTCTCCTGCTTTGTCACTACAGACAAAACCTTCGCCGACTACACGGCGGAATCCCTACGCGCTCTGGCGCTAACTTCCGTCTTCTCCTGATCTCTCGTCTCGGCTACTCGATTAAATACCTTCCGTGCAAGATTCCAGAAGGTTCTCGTCATTTCGTCGGCGCGATACGCAGCGAAGCCTGGGGAAAGGGCAAGACGGTTCGAATGCCCTCCGCATCGGATGACTCAACTCGGCATGACCACGCCTCTTTCGTTCTAGAAATTTCGCGGGCTTGCTCGGCCGCCGATGTGGGGTGAGGAGGTTCGTCGACGAAGCCACGCTTCCGAGGGGAGAGCGCGCGCCCGGGGAGCCTTGGATGTTTGTTTTCTTTTTTTTCTTTTGACTTCCCGGCGTCTCTCCCGCGCGTTATCGCAAGAATTTGGCGGCGCGCCCATTTTTAGCGCTCGTTCTGTGACACTGCCCCCCACTTTCAGAATATTATCTCATAATATTCAAAACCACACAAACGAGCGCGAACAGTCACCACACACTCTGAAAGACTGTAACACAAACCTTCGCTCATTACACTTCACATTCACAATAGATCGCCCTATACAATTGTACATTGTAATTCAATTCCACAACACATG